TAGTTGGTTCCACAGGAGAGGAGCCTGATAACTAAAAGATCTGCCTCCCATTCTACTTTGAAAAATTCTAGGAACCACTATTAAACCTGCAGATTGAGAGTGAAGTGTTCTGTTAGGAACATAAGAAACAATCATATCTATGATATAAGATGGAGCTTGGCCGTTTAAGGCTTTATATGTGATGAGGAGGATTTAAGATTATACAAAATTTACCAATCAAACAAAACATAATAAATAGCAAATGGAGCAAGGGGCAATGCATGCGCTTCCTCTGATCTCAAGGCACTAATGCTCGCACTTATCGGCCAATACAGAAAAAAAACATAGCTAATAGCTTTAATAATATATATATATATATATATAATAATTTATTATAGCCGGATAGCCACCAGTTACCCTAAATGCACTGTGAAGTCCTGTCTGAAGTCATTCCTTGCTGATCTTAAAGGCATTCTTTTCCTGCTCCCTAACAAGTACATTTTACGATGCAAAAAATTGTGCTGTGTGAGATATTTCGATGTGCGACTGGTCCACAGTACTGCAGGAAATCTGGTCATGTGAGTTACTTCTGCTGTAGATTCTTGCAGAGGAAGGAAGGATCTGGCAGGCTGACAGAGTCTCTGCTGAAACCGTGTTCTCTGTTCTCTGATCGATCCAATCATGAAAGTGCATCATTAATACAGAGTACTGTGCTTTCGTTTGATTCTGGCTTGTTTAAAGTGGTGGTTTTAGGGTGTCTTTCTCAGCACCAATGATTAATCTGAATGTCCAAATGCTTTCAGTGCTCTTAATCAATGCACAAAAACAGAAAGTTTGTGTTGTACATCTAGAGGAGCCACGTTTATGTAGAAACTGATACCATCTGCTTTCTCTTCCTGCTTCTGTGGGACGTTTTTTGGGTCACAACAGTGGTTCTCAGATGGTTTAGAATTAAACCCAACCTTAGAGGAAGAAACAAAGGCCATCAAATTAAACAAAAATGAGAGTCATTCAGCAGATTTGAAAAGAGATTCCTCTTGTCTAGTTGATTTTACAGAGGCGGAAACTGAACCATGTTTTCTTAGAACTCTAGCTATAATAAGGGAAGCATGGGGTTGACTTCAGTGCTGAAGGGATTTCTTTATATATTTTTTTTAATCCTGTTTTATCAGCATGAAAAAGCATTTTTTTAAAACTGAAAAGAAAATCTGTTCAAACAAACCATTTGATTTATAACATTCAACAAATTTACTATTAAAATGAGCAATATTTCTAGTGATAATACAGCAGCACTTTTGCATGTGTACATAATATTAGTATTCCTCAATCTAAAACTCCAACAGAAAACCTCTTTTGTTGTTTATATATTTACTTATTACGTGTTTAGCAAATCTTACCTCTAAATTAAACATTCTTAGTGAACAACTTCAAAATATAATCCACAATTTGCATAGAAGCATAAATTCAGACCGACAGTGGCAGATTATGAGTGAGTGTGTGGGCGGAGCTTGTGGTTAACGGCTTCAGCCGCTAACTTTACTGCTGTGGTTATCACCTTTAGTTTTGGTATTTTTTTAACAGTGCATGAGTTACTATCTCTGATTTAAGCCCTCTCTGCTGATGATGATTTGGGGGTTAGTTTGTGTTTTACTACAGTGCAGAAGATTTTCTGTATCACTAGGTTAAGTTTGCAAGAGGTAGAGAAACTAAAAGGTGGAGATTCTAGATGTTAAACTGACTCATTGCAAAGTTGCAGTTTTAGTGTTGATGAAGGATTTTAATTCTGTCTCCTTGATAAATGTGCAAACATGTGAAGCTTTGTTGGTTTACTTTTGGATAAACTACAGCAGGCAAACAGTAATCTTTGTAGGTTTACTGAACTATTTTTAAATAGAAGCAAGTCGTAAAGAAGGTTAGAAACCTGAATTACCTCCACAGGTATGATGTGCAAAATAAAATGTATGAACTGCTGCTGAGAGGAAAGGTTTGGTTTGTCTTATCTCTGACAAGAATGTTAGGAAGGAAGTTGTTTAGAGACTTCACAAAAGGTGAACATAACCTCTTAATTTGTTTTTTTCTCCCTCTTCTGTATCACAAGTCCTAAAACTTTATTAATTTCTTTAACATTGTGATCTAATGAAGTGTTGAAATCCAGTGTTTAACATGTATGACTGCTGAGCTGGATGAGGAAACAACAGATACAGCAAAACAAAAAAACAAAAATAATGAAATATGATAACATGATGAAATATTAAGTTTATTTCTTGTATTTTTTTTAATTATTGCTTATACTCGACTCAAACTTTATTTATAAAGCACATTTAAAACAACCGGGGTTGACCAAAGTGCTGTACAGGAATCACAGTTAAGGAACATAAGATAAAAACTGAAGGCTAAAATACATAAACACATAAAAATAGAATAGGATAAATGTTTCAATTAAAATACATTTTACAATAAAATAAAATTTTGCCAAATGTCCACTTAGACATGATTAAAAGCCAGGGAGAAGAAATGTGATTTTAAAGAGGATTTAAAAACCTCAAAGGAGCCTGCTGATCTAATATGCCAAGGCAAATTATTCCAGAGTCTCGGTTCCACTGCCATAAAGGCAAAATCACCTTTGGTTTTAAGTCTGGTTTTAGGCATCGCCAGTATCAGCTGATTAGAGGATCTCCGTGTATAGATGAGAATAACCCCAAAGTAGAACAATGCATTAGATAGAAAAGTATGTGCTTAACAGAAATGTCAGGCTTCTAAAAAGTGCTCATCTATATGCATTTGCTACTTGGTTTGGGCTCCTTTTGCAGGAATTACTGCATCATTGCAGTTTAGCATGGAGGCAGTCAGCCTGTGGTTCTGCTAAGGTGTGATGGAGACCCAGGTTGTTTTAACAGGGCCCTTTAGCTCATCTCAAAGTCCTCTCAGCTAAGTATGTAGTGCTCTGAATTTACTGTGAACTTCAGGAAACTTGATGGACCAACAGTTGGCAGGGTACCCCAAACCATCAGTGACTGGAAACTAAACACTGGATTTCACACAGTTTGGGTCCTTTGTCTTTGTCCTTCAGGCTTCTAAATACAATTTAAACTTTATTTTAATCTGAAAAATAGGAGGTTAAATCCTCTGAAGGGTACATTTATCGCTATTGGTGGTATGGCTTTGCCTACCATACTTTTTCCTTCCACTCAACCTTCTATTGATATGGTTAAAATATTACCCAGCTTCTTCAGCGATGGCCTTTTGTGACTTTCTATGTGCAGAGGGTCAATGACCGTCTTCTAGTCAGCATGTCTTCTACATGACTGTTCAGCCTCCTGATCCGACATTTAGAGGTTCAGGAAACATTTAGCAGGTGTTTTGAGTTAACTAGGCTATTAAGGTGTGAAGGCAAGGCAAGGCAAATTTATTTGTATAGCACAATTCAGTACAAAGACAATGCAAAGTTCTTCACATGATTAAAATAAAGGAAAATAAAACAGAATCAAAGCAAGTAGGAAAAAAAATAAGTAAATAAATAAATAAAATAAAAATGCAGAAACAAAAAAGAATATTAAAAACAGTTGGACTGAAGAAAATAAAAAAGTGGAACTAATGATGATTCAGTTGAACTGTTTAACTAGAACAGTCGAAGGCAGTCCTAAACAAATGTGTTTTTAGTCTTGATTTAAAGGAACTCAGGCTTTCCGCTATGGAGGACCAACTCTGCCATATTTAATAATAAATACCAAAATAAATAAATACTCAATAAATAAATAAGCATACAATTAATTGCCCTCCAAAATACAATAAATAAACAAATGTAGGTAAAAAATTTATTATACAGTGAGACATAAATGCATATATCTCTTTTAATTAGTTTCTTTATTTATTCGCCTTTGTAAAAATTACGTTATTTATTAATTGTCCGTCATAATGAGAAGAAGTTGACTTTCTAATACACACTTCTTCTCAGAAATGCATACAGAAATGTAAAAACGAAAGTCAGAAATAAATAGTGTAAAAGAAATAAATAGGGTAGAAAAAATAAAAAGGCAGAATAAAACAGAAAAAATATATCATGCACATAAATAAATACTTAAAAATAAGAAATAAATAAAATAAAGTTGAAGATTAGAACGGACAATAAATAAATAAGGTAATTAATAAAAAGGCGAATAAATACAGAAGCTAATTAAAAGAGATATACATTTATGTCTAACTGTATAATTTAATTTATACCTACAAATGTATTTGTTTATTGTATTTTGGGGGCAATTAATTGTATGCTTATTTATTTATTGAGCATTTATTTAATATCTGTATTTATTTTTAGATATGACAGAGTTGGTCCTCCATATTCCGCACTACATCCTTTAAATCAGGTCATGAAGTCATGTGTTTCTTATATTTAACTTTTTCAAAAATATTTGCATTTTCTGACACATTGAGTTTTGGTCTTTAATTATTTGAAAGCCATAATATCAATATTACAAGGAACAAAGGTTTAAGATATGTCTATGTGCAATAATTCCAGGTAATTTGCAAGTTTCACTATTATAAATACCATTGTTTTTTTGTTTTTGTTTTTTCTGTTTTTTTGTTTTACATCTAGACCTTTAGAGGGAGCCATTCAACAGTGTCCCCTGGTGGTAAACTAGTTTATTTAAACATGTCCCCATCTCAGTGATGCCTCACTATATTAGAATATCACCTTAACAGTTATAATGTTCCTGTGGTTTAATTTAGAAAACCCATATAGATTTTTTTTTACCCATAGGCTGTTCTAGTTTGAGTTTTTAAAACAGCTAATTTTGCTTTTACACACCCCGTCTCACTAATATTTGTGTTTAATTTTTTTTACTACTCTCTAAATCTGAGAAGCAATTAGCTGGAAGCCAGAATCATCAGAATTAACAGAAAATAATGACTTACTTTGCAGTATATCAAATTGTGTGTAGTTAACCTGTTACAAATGTTTGAATCTGTTGTAATGATGAGCTGCAATCTTAGATTTTACCTGAAGGTTTGTTTTTCCTCAGTGGCGCCTCCCACCAACGTCACCCTTACCTGCCGCAACCAGAAGAACATACTGAAGTGGGACTATGACCAGCCCCCTGACCAGGGACTGAGATTCAGGGTCAATATTAAATCCGACAACCCCCTCAAAGGGTATTTATGTATTTTTTCATTTTAATCTATTCCTGTTTTATTCTCCTGCATATGTTTGTATTTGACATTTTTAATAATGAGTTTTAGTAATAAAATACTTAATGTTTTACTGTACATACATTTTATTTGTCACATTAAAGCTATAGAGGACAATCTTTTATTTTCGGGTGGATCATCTAAAGAATTGGTTCTCCTAACTGTCAATTGTTCTGGTGATATGTTTACATAAGGCGGTCCTTTGTGCTCGCCCCGTTAGCTTTCTTTTTCTGCTCATGCGCACTTTCAGGCGTATATATGTGTGGTTAGTTACGGTTTCAGGCCGTCATTGAAGCTCACCTTTCTCAGCGAGGTTCTTTGAAAATAGCCGAGGGTAATAAGAGAAAAAGTGTCCATGAAGTGTATGAGAAGAAAAAGTCCTCAGAGGAGGTAGATATATCCCAGAATGCTTTGCCTGGAGAGCCCTCCTCGCAAAGCGCTAGTGGATTTGCTGTAACAGCGGCCCGCTGTCGCAACTAATAACAAAGATGACGCAGGCTTCGCGCAGTGGAGGAGGAGTTATGTGACCAACGCAGCAAAAAAACAGTGATCATCTATCCGAACGGTCAGTTAACCGAGTTCACTATAAAGTCCACTATATAGTCCCCGCTATATGTGGACACAGTAAGCTTGTATGAGCTATGAGAAAAGCACATGCTAAACAGGGCATGCACGAGGAGAAATGGTTCTCGTGCATGGAGAGGGCAGGTCTTTTAGAAAATCCTCAATACCTTTAGGTCCCTCATTAGAACAGTTTGTCTGCAGGTTTGAAAGTATGTGTGGGTGGAAAAACTCAGAAATAAGTTTGAAATGATAAAATAAGTGTGTACGTTAACTAACACCTAGATATAGCTTGGTTTAAATTTGTAAAATGTAAATTGGTGCTCTAATTGTTCATTTGTCTTCCCTTTTCTCTTCCACCAGTTGCAAAGATGAACTGTGGGTAGACTACCCTGCTCTTCAAGCGGATGTTTCGTTTCTCTCAGATCCAGATAATACATATATGCTTGAAGTGAAAGCTGTGTTGGGACAGAATGAGTCTGATGTTTCCCCACAGGAGGGACTCATATTCAGCTATTTCTATGGTTCTCCGCTTGCCCAAAAAATATGTAAGCAGCATGTTCAACTAAATCTAACCAAACCACTGCTGGATTTATAGATGAATGCTTTCTCTGGCTCGGTGTGTGCAATGATCTTTGCTGTTTCTTAGGCCTTCTGGACCTTCCGCCCGTTAATATCACCTACCTATCGAATACCAAGATCCACCTCCAGTTCAGACACCCTTGGTTGTTGTACGGGGAAGGGGTGTCCAGATGTAATAAAGAAAATGAAAAGAAGAAAAAGAAAAGCCACTCCAAAAGGACTGCATATTTACCGCTTTTTTCATATAATGTCCAGATGGTCGGCCAGGTCAGACAGCTCAACTTAACATCACACATTAAGGAATTATTGATTTTACTCCTTTCAGGAGTATTTGTACAAAAAATATTAGACATGCTCTGCTTTTAATGTTCTATTTTACATCCATTAATGAAGCTTGTTTTTGTTCTAGGAGAATAAACAGCACAACTTTGACTGTGAGGAGGAGATGTGTGAGGAAAATCTGTCGGTGGATGCTGCACAGGACGAACATTGTCTGACAATCGAGGGAAAACTCCGTAAAATGTCTGTGGTGTCCACAGAGGACTACTGCATCACAAAACAACCACCTTCTAACAGTTGAGTAAATTCTCATTTGTTTCAACTATTTGATATTGAGAAGAACAATTGAAATGTATCACAATACCACATAGGGGCATTTTTAAAGCCTCCTTGGGCCTTAAAGTTGTTAGTTTCCTTTATGGCTGACATCCTTAGTCTTTAGCGGCAGCTGCAAACATGTTTCATGGTTAGACACCAGCATCTGGAAGCATTCCTGATTAATCTCATCCTTCCTCAGGAATCTATTCCTTTGGAGATTTTTATCAGGCAGCTAAGATTTTATCTTTCAGGACTTGTTTTATGGGCTTTACCTAACCTCGCAGTAGCCAGACTGGTATGTGTAGAACTGAGATGAGTTGAGTGTCAGACAATCGTAGCAGCGAAACGCCATGTTTCAGGCTTAATGGCTTCGGCAACTTGGTGGTCCATGAGAGCCAACAACGGACATGCACACACAAACGTCTTTCCCATTTAATTTCTTCTCTTTGCTCCTTTTTAAAATGAGACATTTTTGCTATTTTAGCTAAAACTGAGTCAATTGTGGTATCGGCAGGTGAGTCCTCCAGCGTAGCCATGTTTGCATTCCTACATGTCCCACCCCAAAAAACACAGCTGGCTTGTCATTGGTCCGACTCGTTGGAGACGGACGTATTAGCACAAGTTTTTCAAGATGGATTCGTTGTGAGAATGACAACTCAGATGGAGGTTAGGCTTTACCTGCCTCCTCAGGAATCCAATGGCAACTTTATAAAGCTTTATCTTTCTGCCACCAGATGGTGCAGCTTCCTCTTCCTTTATCTTAAACCTGGAGGCTTTGCTATCAGGAACAATCAAGTCCTTTTCCATCTGTTCTTATCCTTGTTTGTTTCTGGCAGATTTTGATGTCTTGCGTCTCCAGCATATCTGATGGAGCTTAAAACACGCACGCTTTTATTCAACCACTAAAAAAAGAGAAATAGTCCAAAAATGCTATTGACAAAAGGTTAAAGCAAAGATTTGAGAAGATGTTTTTAATTCATCAAAACATCCATCATTGCTTTTTATAAAGCATTTTATCTGTGTTTGAGGTGATCCATCAGCCATTCCAAATAAGGAGATATACATTTCTGTTTTTGAACCCTTTTCACTCTGATGCCCTGATGTCTCATATTTTCAACATCCTTTTGGTGTTAAACACTCAAAGGGATTGTGGTTGATTTTATGTTATGTTTCTTTTATTTTCTATATTGTTTTAGTTATTTATTTGATATTGTTTTTATTAATCTTAGAGCATCTTTTGGTTTTTGTATTTCTGCTTTTGTGCAGCACTTTGGTCCTATTGGTTCTTTAAAGTGCGATATAGATAAAGTTGGATTAAATGAAATTAAGTTTAATGTTGTAATCTAACATTTGATTCTCTGAGTTATATCTGGAAAAAAATATGCTTGCAGTCTGTTTTATCTGAATAAGGGACTTTTAAAAGCCACGTAACCTCTTATTTTCTCTATTATGGCATTCTTTGTGAATTATTTATGTTGGTCACATAAAATCAGTAAAATATTGGAAGTTCACAGTTACGTTCTGAGTATAATCTTCCCCCGTTAGTTTTTTTCCGTTATCTGCAGGTACGGGACTATGTTAGGAAAAATTTATCGGATTTTGGAACTTTAACAAAACATGAAACCCTAGAGGAAATAAATAAATTTGATCCTGTCAGTCGGGGGGCAGTGTCTCACTTTTATAAGATCTTTAACAATATATGCGTAGACACAGCCAGGATTAAAAAGGCATGGGAGGATGAGTTGGGGCAACAGTTATCTGAAGATCTGTGGGAGGAGGGTTTGAAAAGTGTTCAATATTGTTCAGTCAATGTCAGACACAATCTCATACAGTTCAAAACTATACATAGGCTCCATTATTCGAGGGAGAAACTGAGCACGTTCTTTCCTAGTGTGTCTCCGATTTGTAATCGTTGTCGGGTTGCTATTGGTAACCTGACGCACTCCTTCTGGTCATGTATTCAGCTGCACTCATTCTGGAAGAAAAATTGTTCATTTTTTTTCAGCAACTTTTGGAAAAAGATGGGATCCAGATCCTCTTATTGCCGTCATCGGGGTCTCCAGTGCTTTGCAACCAGCCACTAAAAGTGGGAAAATGGCTGTCTTGTTTGGTACGGTGATTGCTAAAAGATTGATTTTGAGATTTTGGAAGAAAGACTCTGTGCCCACATTTGATTTGTGGTTGGGAGAACTAGCAAATACTCTGCATCTGGAAAGACTGAGACAGTATAACGGAGATAAGGGTGATGTGTTTGAGAAAGTATGGGACCCTGTACTAAAATTCCTTCAATGAAAAAGTGATTACGACTGACTCATCACTACTTAATACTCTGTTAACTTTCCTTTTTTTTCATGAATGCTTTGGATCAATGTATGGTGTTTTCATCATGTTGTTTTGACTGTGAAAGTGTTCTATGATGTGCTGTTCTGGGAGGGCAAGGGAAGGGTGGGGATTTGTTCTTTTATGTTAATTTTTGTATATTCATCTGGAAAATTTAATAAAAGATAAAATTATTGGAAGTTTGTATATTCTAAGGCATAAAAATGGCTGTGAATATTTCCAAATATTTGTGATGTTTGGGGTTTTACTGTGAATTAGTGACGTGTAGCTGGCTGTAACTTTCTGTATATCTTTTCGTTGTTTGTTTAGATCAAACCGGCGTCTATGTCGGGACCTTTGTTGGTATCTTGGTGGTGTTGGCAGCTGCTTTAATCGCCTACATGGTTTACCGGAAGAAGACGTCGCCATCTAGTGATATACTCCCTCTATTCGTATGTTTAATTGTTCAAAGTGGATTCATCCACCAACAGATGTTTTTTCTGGTTTAACACTAACTTTGCATTTTTTCTGTGTCTGAAAGCAGTTTGGGATTCAAAAGCGGCAGCCACCTTTCTTCCAGCCTCTTAATGACCAGGTCAGTCCTACGGAGGCTTTCCCCGTCGTTTCGCCGAAGAGCACTGAAGAGCGCGAAGAGGAAAGCGTCAGTCCGTCACAAGATGCATCTAAAGAGGATAATGAACACTTGAAGTTGCCACCTGACAACGAAGAGCTGGAGGGAGGCCAGGCGACCGGTGAGCAGGACCCATACATGTGTGACAAGTTCAACGAAGGTGACGACCCAGAATCCGACCAGGAGAACGTCTCTCCCTATGAGAGCCATCCCGTAGTGCTGGAGTTGGCCCCTGAGGACCGTGCAGAGGGATACCGAGGCTAAAGAAAATAAAACAAAACACTCATTGTTTGATCAAGAGGAAAATACTAATTTCAGTCAGAAAAAGGGAACGAGTCCATCAGTTGCAATTGCATTTTATCCCTTTGCCTCAGTAATGTCTGGCTGATTGCTAAAAGTGTTGAAAATACTTTAGACTGTTAAAACTAACTAGACATATAAAGCCCCAATCACAGCTTTTTCCGGGCTGAGGATACTAGCATTAAAATGCATAATGAGCTCAGCTTTTGCACTTTTTTATACATTCCAATAGCTGTAGTTGCTCATTAGAATAATGTAGAGTTAGACTCAGAACACCTTTAGCTTTAATTATAGTGGCACCGCGAATCTCCTTTAATGTAGACTAATAAAACTTACCACTTTATCTTTCATTTCATGAAATGTGGCCCTGCTGTAAAGGGTATCAAGTCCTTTTCATGCATTTTAACTGTGCACCTTATTTAGGATAGTTGTGGCGGATGTATGTGTTTGTTGTCTGTAGAGGTTAGAGGTCAATCAGTGCCATAAGTCTCACTCAGTTTGGCTTTACTTAGGTAGACAATTTATTTAATGCATTTTCCTATATTAACCATTCAACTGTATTCTCTCATTAATGCACCTTCCTATCAGACGTCGTTTCTAACAGTAATCGGTTCTGCTTGAGAGGAAAGACAAAGGCAGTCCAATGACAGAGATGCTGGAAATATATTGAAATGATGACTTGACTAAAAAACACCAGAATCTAGATTTTTTTAAAGGTTTAGGAATAATAGGTGTGAAGATCTTCATCGCTATCTATCTTCTTAAGATCGATTAGGCTATGATCACGCTGAGTATGAATGGAGTGATTGTTAAGATGTTAAGATGTCTCAACGGTGCAGATTAACAAAGGATGCGTTTAAAGCCATGCAAAGAGAGCAAAGCAATACTTTGCTGGAGTTTAAACAACCTGAACTTTTCTGTCGACTTGTGTTAAGTTGACAAATCAGGGACTGGAAGGGGTTTTGGTGGAGTTTTAATTTTTTTAAAAACAGTATTTGCAGGTCCTGATGCTGGGTTCTGGACAGATTGAAGCCATCATCCAGCTGCAGCCGCTGATGCAGGTGGATATGGGCTTCTATCAATCACATGAGAGCAGATCTGAAGCTGTTGTTCACCATTGATGCCAACTTTAGCATTAGTAGCTGATGGTAAACCACGGTTTCCTCCTCGTGCCTCATATTTATCATTTAGAGTGACAGTTGTTTAAGGCGTCTCTGTGTCAGATGAGCTAATATGGAGTCACAGCTTCAGACTGTCGGGTCCATTTATTGACTCTGCTTCCCGTGAGGCTGCCAGAAGAGCTTCCCCCAGCTGTTAGTTTAGGGGACTAATTATATCTGGTGCTTAGCTGTTTAGCCACAGCGCCGCTCTTTTATAATCTTCATGTCTACCGGATCTAGACCGTGCTCCTCCAGTTGATGACCTCTGGGCTGAGTCTCAAACACCAGAATTTGTATTGAGGGAAATGATGCTTGCTAGGCCATTATATATTCCCCCTGTTGCATTTGTGCCTTTGAAGGTTACCTTGACTACCTGAGATGAACACCTTCTTGATTTTATATTTTATTATTTTTAGAAGTTTGCACCCTCTTTATTCTGCTATGCTACCAAATCTGGAATATCCAGCTGGAGAACAGAGTTAAAGTGAGACTGAGCTGCTGCTCATCACTTTGTGTTGATTTGCAACCCCAAAACATAGGAGAAATTCTTCCTTTTTATCTGTCTTTGTGTTCTAAATCCCATAGAAAAGCACTTAAATCTAGAATAAATATGACAGCTGTGAAAATGCCACAAGAGTGAAAAGGTTTTTATTTGTTAAAAACATTTCTTTGTAGTCTGAAATATTGTTGTCTGAAAACCTTTCTAGTTTTCTATTTTTCTTTTATAGTAATAAAATTCATGCATGTTTTTTTTCATTCTGTTTTATTAAAAATAAATATGTTGATTCTAAGTACAGAACCTCATTGCTGTCACGTCTGAGTCTTTCCACTTATGAAGGGAAGTTGGCATTAGGGACATGCAGCGCAGGTGGAATGGGCCCTTCAGACTAACACATCAGGTTCTGTTTTAAAGGAAGAACCACGGCCGTCATGGCGGGTCGTGACATTTGATCGTTCTACTCTGCCTGTTCCTCTTAACAGTGAGGAGGAAGACATTCTGTTGGTGTTTAGATGCATTTCCCTCCTTTTTGATTGTGCGTCTGTCGGAACGCCCATATTTGGGCTTCCTGAACTCGTTACCTGCGTAATCCTTTAATTATACGTTTCTGTTTTCTTGTAATCTGCTTCTGTGATTACCAGCCTGCCTTATTGTTGATGCACTGTTGATAATCATAAAAATTAACAATAAAGAACCTGTAGTCTGAGGACAATCAACTTTTTATATCTGAATAAATTCAGATGAAAAGAGTGTAAAATGATTATACAGTATAAATCATTATATGTCTCCAAGCTTTAACTAAGACCATCTACCGTATATTTTCACACCCCATGCCCTAACATTTCTTACTACAACCTTTGTTGTATTTTATGTGATTATGAACTAACACAATGCTGTGCATGGCTGGAAGTTGGTGTTTAAACATATTTTGTAAATAAAAGTTTGGAATGCCTTTGTGTTTACTGTCGTTATCATAGCCAGAGGTTTTTTTCTTTTACAGCTGTTATTCACACCAACATGTTCAGTTTTCTTCCCATTCTTTGAAAAAAAAAAGGCTCAAACTTCCACTTTGGCTGGATGGATTATCTAGATGTCATTTTCTATGGTTTCCCTCAAATTCTTTAATTGCATCAAGGCCCATACTTTGACTAGGCCATATTCCATTGTAGCTCTGGCTTAACTGGTTAAATTATCCTTTTATTCAGTTCCTTAGATCAACTGGACTTTACAAACACAACTTTATTCTCTAAATAAATCATTTTCTTTATCACTATTATTCCCCAATAACAATAAAAACAAGCCTGACTGCTCATTTGTGGGTTTTGGTAACAGTGGTGGGTCTAGATCAGGCATCCCCTAACTCGGTCCTCAAGGCCCCCTTTCCTGCAGGTTTTAGAGGTTTCCTTGCTCCAGCACAGCTGATTTTAATTGAAAGCTGATTAATAGGCTTTTGCTCTACTGCAATCATAATCAGCTGTGCTAAAGCAGGGAAACCTCTAAAACCTGCAGGACAGCGGCCTTGAGGACCGACTTTGGGCATGCCTGGTCTAGATGAAATTTACAAGGGGGGCCAGGCTGGGGCCAGTTTTTTCATGGGGACAAGAAATAAAAGATTCACAGAACAAACAGGGTAAGAGTGCATCATTTAGTGTATATATATAGTGAGCAACAAAGCCAAGGATGCAGACTCTAATATTAAAACTGATCCTGTACGACCAAACCTTAGAGTTTATGGCAATTTCTAAACAACTGTAACTAAATTGTAAAGAGAAAAGGTTAAAATTGGTCCAAGAGTTGAATCGCTGTGTTTCTTCTGTCACCACACACACAAAAAAAACTATTATTACAATACAAAACCGTAGAAAAAGATCAAACAAATCTTAAAATAAGTGTTTTACCCCCAGTTTGAGCAGGTCATTATGATGATCTACATAAAGAATTAGTATTGCTGCCCTTAAAAATAGGATAATTGAATATTATGCCCTTGCAGTAAGTCAACTGAATTTTTTATTCCTTATTTTTAGTGTAAATCTCATCAGATTTGACAAATTGTTTAACGTACTTGCTTAAAATTAAGGGAAAAACAGTCCAAGTAAAAAGTGACTTGCTTTTATTCCATTTTTTGTATTGTATGTGGTACAGGGGCCGGGACCGGTCGCCCCCTGCCTAGAACTGCCCATATATGGTAAGATTAACTTAGGTCCTCATCCATCCTCTTCCCAGTTTCTGACCAAGGATGTAAGCAGGGACTTTTTCTATGGCCACATGAAGATAAACTAACATCTGCTGTAACTGACTGCCATGTTTTCCATTCATTCCCATTTTGAAGTTTGCCATAGATAGTTTTGCCTCTGTGTCGAGTCATGTTTATACCAAAGAGACAGACAGTTGATTCATTTCAAAGATCCACAGAGCTTGGCTGCTTCTCCTTGATCTGCATGACATTGAGTGAAGATGTTACACTGTTAGATAAAGAGTGACATGCTTGTCATTTTGAAAGATTAAGCAGAGCTTTATGAGACGTCTCTCTCCCTGATCTGTCTGCTGTGCTCCTCTGCCTTCATAGGACTGTTTGTTCTCTAATAAAACTCTGAGACACTTAAAACAGTATAAATGTGTTCATTTAAACCCAAGGCCTGTAGACTCATCAAAGGTAACTAATGGTTTTATTTAGGCTCCTACAGTAAAATAATTTTCATTCATTCTGCACTTTTCAAATTCACTTCACAATTATATGCAACTTCATCTCACTTTATCACATATAATCCAATAGAAATACACTGAGATTAGTAGCTGCTATGCAAGAAAATGGGAACAATTTAGGGGACACCTTTGCATTTCCTAATAAGGTTAAAATAAGGTCAAGATATAAACTAATATTTTACAGAACAATTCAGCAGCAATATTACTCTAGAAGCCACTATAAATATATTAGCAGCCATAAATGACTCAAACATAAAGAGGAAACATGAAGTTCAGAAAAGACTAGCACTCTTCTCTCGTGATAAATTATGCAGCAACGTTTCTAGTAAACTGGATGCAAATGAATGGGCTACGGGTGGCCTTTACCGCTACCGGTAATCTATACCTGTAACAGAGTCAAAGTGATGCTGCAAAATTTACTTCTTCAAACCCAAATGGAAGAAAATAGATTTGGCTTCTTTTCAGTGATGCACGGAACCAGCATTGATTTGCATAAAAATCATGTGGCTCAGTCATTGCATTGTAACTGTATTAGGACTTCAAACTGATGGTAGTGACACTGATGTCTATTTACTATTTAGATAAGCTGTACTTAAAGTAAAAAAATTTTAAAAACAACACCTAATTTCTTATTTTTTTAATTAGTGTCACTACGTTTCTGTCTAATTCTAGTTCCTGATCATTTAGCATTAAAAGAGAAGGAAAACTGGAAAGGATGGAGGATGGCAGCAAACTAAGGAGTCATCTGCAGCAAGTTGAATGTTTTGGCGGTTTTTTTGGCAATCATCCTCAGCTAAAGGTGATGTTTATAAACTTATCTAAGTTTCAATTCAGTGCAAGTGAGTAACGTCTGTCTAACATACAAACATTTAAAACTTTTGGTCATGAGTATTATTTATGATGACCATTCCATCTGTTAAATAAAACAAACAAATAATACTAGTTTTGTTCATACTCTTTGGTCACATGGCATTTCCTGTATCTAAACTGTAGATTAATGGGTTAAAATATGATCAGTAAGTCTGGGATAATTGCATTTTATAATGGATGACAAAATCTGATTCAGCTAATAATCAATACTGTAAAGAATAAAAAGCAAAAGTTTCCATGACGGCTTCTTTTCTGTCTCATAAATAGTTAAGAGCAATTGTGGCATTTAAAAAAAGGGGAAGTTAGGGCTTTTAAAAGGTAGAGGGAGGGTTGCCTGCAGCATCTGTTAGGATTGTTTTCAGTGTTGGTCCACAGACTGCATCGACACCATGACTCGCCTGCTGCTTCGCACCATGCTGCTGGGGAACCTGGCCTTCTGTGTCACAGCTCAAGGTAACCTCCACTCTGTCCTCATGCATTTTCTTTAATTACAGAGCTGCTACCCGCCTGCAGGCATTTAAAGATCCTAAGGTTTAATTGCTGATATGTTTGTTATTTGGTTATGATGTTAATGTTTTCTTCAATTAAATAGACCAGAGGTGTGAAGGTTCATTTTACATTATTTCTCCTTTTATACTAAACCAATGACGTCTAAGCAGGTCATTGATGGATAGGCAGTTAAGCCTGTTTACTGTTGGCTGGTTTGTCATCAACGTTGACCTTTGTTTTTAAAAGGTCACACCGAGTTTTACCAACAGATAAACCTGTAAACCTAAATCAGTAGATTACCAAGAAATCTAATGATTTATCACAAAAACAATCAAGTTTTCTTTATTTATATCTGATAGAAAAAGTAACTTCTAGCTTAAGAAGGAGGCCAATTTTAAGGAATCGAAATTTATAAACTTCATGAGGACAAAAACCTCAGGTACCTGCTCCTGTGGGCGTTTAAGTTTGTTTTGGGTGATCACATTTAACAGAGGTTACCTGCTGCTGATCCTACCTCAGGCCTCCTTCTAACCAGCATGTTTAGTTTTTGTTTTTCAAAATTTATGTTTCCTTCATCTTTGGCTGAAATGTAACTCTTTTTCTTTTCAGTTCAATTCAATTCATTTTATTTATATAGCGCCAATTCACAAAACTTCTCATTTTAAGACTTTTGAATAAGTCTTTGTAAGAATAATATTTATTTAATTTCTAAAAGATAAAAAAAGGGATGAAATGTTATTAGAAATTAGTAATAAAATAAAGGCACATTATAAACCTGACATTCAGGAAGTTTAGTTTAGTCAGAAGGAGCTCCTGTGCCAATTTCAGGAAAAGTTTGTTATTGCCATATTGCTAAGCCATATTTTCCAGAACTTTTCTATTTCTCCATCTTTGCCTCTTGCTCACCACATAACTGTTACTTCTTAGCCAATAAAATAGACAGATGTTGCGCATTAGGGGGAATATAAACCATCATACCGAGCAAATGCCGTGAATGCATGGCACTTGAAGTGTATCCAACCAAATATGTGCATCTAAGTGCTCGTTTGCAACTCTGATATTGCAAACACTGCCACAATGATGTTTCTGCTGTTGGATTTATTGTGCAGCTCTTCATCTGGGTGGTTAAAAACCTTCCTAAAACTGTGAGATATTTGATATAAATGTTTATTGATCTTATCTAACCCAGATATCTGACTTCCTGTGTTGCAGAAATGCTGACTCCACCTGGCCAGGTGAAGTTTACGTCTATAAACTACAGAAACGTCCTGCACTGGGTGGCTCCCACCAACAGCACCTCCCTGCATTATAACGTCCAGTATAAGATGTGAGCGCTCACACACAAACATGAATGAATTCTCTCTATTGTTTCTCTTCATTTCTGAGCCTTTGATCCTATAATATAATCATTGCCAGGGTGACAAATCTAAATATAAATAAATATAAATCGCTTTATTGTCCCAGAATGGGGAAATTCACTTTCTGCATTTTCTTCGGAAGCAGTGGGCTGCCACTGTTGGAGCCAGAGGAGCAGTCTGGGGTTAAGGGTCTTGCTCAGGGACCCAGAGTGAAAGCTGTGGGAATGAGTGGGACTTGAACTCAGACCCAAGTGCAATGCTTTAAGCACTAGGCCACTACTCCCTGGCAGTAAATGGCAGAAAATATAGGAAAATACATACAGTGTAGCTAAAGTTAATTTAGTATTAATTTTTTTTTTAATGATTTTTGTTTCCATAAAATTATTTCCGGTATTATTTTTTTACTTTTATTAATTTAATTTAATTTAATTTAATGATTAATAAATAAAAGTCTTCTTCTGTGGTTATACAAGCTCACCACCAGTAGAGGGAGCTCCACAGGCATCTCCCTCCACAATCAGTCTCAAATCAG